ATTTCGGCTCTGTTGACGACATTTTGGCTTTGATGACGACATATCAGGTTTTTTGATGACATTTCGGCTTTTTTTCACGACATTGCAGCTTTCAACACCACATTTTTGCTTTATTTTTGACATTTCTGTATCGTTCATAACATTTCGGCTTAGGTACCTACATTGGCTTTGTAGGCGATATTTTGGCTGTGTTAGCGTTTCGGCACTGTTGACGAGATTTTTGGCTTTGATGACGACATATCCAGTTGTTTTTGATGACAGTTCACGTCATTTTGGCTTTATTTTTGACATTTCTTTTATCATTCATGACTTTTTGGTGTAGGTATCTACTTTGGCTTTGTTGGCGATATTTCGGCTGTGTTAACATTTTGGCTCTGTTGACGACATTTCAGTTGTTTTGTTTGTTTTTTTAACAACATTTTGGCCTTTTCCACGACATTGCGGCTTTCTTCACGACATTTTGGCTTTATTTTCGATATTTCTGTATTGTTCATGACATTTCGATGTAGGTACCTACATTGGCTTTGTTAACAATATTTTGGCTGTGTTCTCGACATTTAAGCTTTACTGACTTGGTGAGGAAGAGGGGGGGAAACAAATCACTGTGGCAATTGTACACCATTGTACATAAATTAGCAGTAAAAGGGAGAGAAACCTCAATCTTGGTGAATACAGTGTTCCAGATGGTGTTAATGGCAACATCAAGCCACAAGTGGGTGTTTCTGGGTGTTGTTTACAAACATATTTTTGGAAGGTTTAGTGGAAAGGAAAAGTGCGGTAGGACAAGAAAACATTCGGACAATCAAGATCCAAAGAATATTTAAGAATTTGGAAGATTTACAATAGGTGGACCTGACCTGGATTCCTTGCATCACAACCACTACTAGGAGATGTAACTAGGGCTTAGCTGTCTTGTTCCTTAAACAAAAGGGGAGATTTAAAGAGTTTGGCTTGTGCTAAAGAGGAAAAAAAAAAAGACGTGACTTCAAGTTATCCTTATTCTTTCTTTTTATCTTATTAAATGTTAGTATATTAAAATGAAGGTCCAAGAATCTGGTGGAGTTGAGAGGTATGATGTGTTTCCTGGTCGTCTGGTCTGACCCATTCCTCTTTTATCAAAGCTGAGAACATCCATTCAACTACCATGAGAGTAGTGATAAGAGAACTCCATTAAAACTGACATTAATCATCTTGACTCCTTGCTTTAAGATGTATGTCTGTGTGTGTGTGTGTGTGTGTGTGTGTGTTGGGGGGGTCTATCCTTATATAATTGAGATCCATTGGGGGATCTTCGTTTGTGTAAACATATTACCGGAAGAAGGCCTCTTTGAGCGAGTCATGCTGTGAGAAAAAGGGGCTGTTGTTCTTGATGACGCATTTGTGTCACTTAACAGCCTTGTTCTGTGTGCCTTAACGTCAGAAAATAAAGCTTTGAGTCAGTTTCATTTCCCACTTAAAGGGACGATAAACACACTCATCTGCATCTTTATTGGATCCTACTGTTAAACTGTCAGCTATAAGAAGCAGACAATTGATTAGTTCAGTATGGTAGAAAGGCAACAGTATCTCAAATAACCACTTGTTAATGTCTGGGGTATGTGGGATACTGTCTCTAAATGCACAATACACCAAATCTTAAAGCAGAAGGGCTACAGCAGAGAAACACCTTGACGGCTCCCTCTGCTGTCAGATGAGAACAAGAAACTGAGGTGACAATCTGCACCTGCTTGGCAATATAGCACCAGAACACATGGTCAAAATTAAAAAGTCTTGATTTCAGCTAAAACTGTTCAAATTTACTGCAAGAATAAAGAGTGAAAGGTGAGTAAGGAAATACTTTTTCAGCATTTCAGGCACTGATACATAGCTGCAGCCTCCTTTAGTTTATTAGAATTGGGATATGTTGTACTTTTTACACCGGATATCTACCCAAATATTGTTTCCCCAGCATAGTGTGCCTACTGTCAGCCTTATTTGTGTTTGAACCCCCCCCCACTTCCTCTAGACTGTTCAGAAAAAAAGGAAACCGTCAGTGGGCATCCTGTGCACAAGTGCTTTTTCCTTGTGCCATTGCACACAGAAGTGTAAAGGTAACTGTCCCAGAAAGACTGTACAGCTCCTTCATTTTTTTACAGCATTCATCTGTAACCCTGCTATAAACAAAATGTGTGTTTCACATAAATAAAGGTGAAAGAATGGTCAGCTGTATATGATCAAATGTGCTCGCACAACACTCGGCAGAGTCGCAACAGGACACAGGGAAAAATGATACCTGTCAGATGTAGTTTACACAGAGAGCAGGGTATTTCCCTCCACTGTCTCAACACAGCGTCTTCTCTTGTCTCTGTTTACATCATCGGTGTGTTCCATTTTTGCACGAGGAGTTCTTCACAAGTTTAGAGTAGTCAGAGAGAAAAGAGTTGTTTTTTTTTATCTCTTTTTGTCTCATGCTGTAAGATTTTCTATAGGTTGTGGACCTGATTTCTGTTATATTCTTAAAGTAATAGGTTTTCTTTTTTAAAAACCTTTTCCGTGTTGATTTTTACCTGTTGTTGGCAAGGTAAACTTGATTTATATAGCACCTTTCACAAGATAAAATCCAAAATAAAACACGAAAAATTGAATATGATAAAAACATCAAACATACAACATCATACAGTTTAAATAAACATGTTAACTGTACAAGAATAAACACCAGGTTTTTCTGTTTTTTTTTTTTTAATTAAAAATAACCAAATTTCCATTTAAAATGATTTTTAAGGCTTCAAAGCACCCTCCCCTACTACATCCTTCCCAGGGCTTTAAAAGAAAAACAGGCTCACAGTATGACAGCGCCTCAAACATTCTCCAGCCCATTCCTTTTTTGTTTAATTTCAAAGTCTTTTGTTGCAACAAAATCAGTCTAATTTTACCAATGCTTTCAAATTCAGTCAATGAGTATGACATTTTTTCAAAATAATAAAAAATTGCTACATTTTATTATGCTAGAAATCAAGTATTTTTGTTTTTCCTATTAATTTGTTCATTATAAACTGTTTCACAAGTCTAATTAAATTTGACTAAATATGTACTATTTTTCCATATTTTGTGAGAACAGTAAGAATAAAAATGCTCTAGGAAGCTAATGTGCTTTTTAGAATCATATATTTTACTCAATGTGTTAGAAGGAGCCTTTCAAAATATAAAGTAATTAATCAACATCACTATTCAGGATGAATTAAGAAACTAATTTATTATTATAAGAATGATGTAGGACAGGAAAACCAATAGTTAGATGCTTTGGTTGTTTTTTAATTTCATTGTATCTTAAACTTTTTCTGTCTAGGATTTCTGTAGTTATGGTTAGAGGTTTTGTCTAATAACACACAAAAAAAAAGAAACTGCAGTTTCTTAGTAAGCCAGGGTTAATTAATCTTATCCTTTTACATTTTTCTGCAATAGACAAAAATAAACCAGATTAGAGCTCTGTTTAATCGTCGTACAGGGACTGGATTTCGGGGAAATCAATAATGCTCAGCCTCTTCATGTTGTGCTTTTATGTCCAGCCTGTCCTCCTTGCATTGTTTCTTCTCAAATTCTCTAAGTCTCAGGAACATTTCTGTTTAAAAGCTTTATCTGACCGCAGCTTATTCATCTTTTCCAGGACCCCGGTCTGTTCCAAACTATCATAGAAGGGGAGGCCTCTGTGTTTGGCTTACAAAACAAGCTCTCTGCTGCTCTTCTATCCAACTTTCTGTTTAAATATCAGATGTCTGTGACAGCTGTTATGAATTCAGGTGTATACATGTATGGATTTATAAGCGCTGTTCACCCTTGGGGCAAACAAAAAAGAATCAAGTAGTTGTCAGCTTCATACAAATCTATTCCTCCCAACAGACTGAAGGATTTTTTTTCAATGTAGGTTTGTTCAAATTATCAATAAAGCTTTTGGTTTTTTAACCATACATTGCTTGATAATCATGTTTTCATGATTTTTTTCATGAAACAAATCAAGCTTTGTTTTTTATGTAATAATTGATAAATGATGTTATATAACTTATATATTAGCATTATATATACATATTTATAATTATATAATGTTCAACAAATAAGAAAAAGCTTATCCATTAAATAAGATGTAGACAAAAAAATAAAAAAAAACCTGTCAATATAGGAAGAATGTAATCCATTTACTTGAAATTATTTATCTGTATAATCTACATTTTTTGTGCCCAACAACAAAAAAAAAAAAAACAATTTCTAGCTAGGAAAGGCCCACAGTGATTCTTTTGTGCCCTTTTCTGACAGAACAAACGTGTCACTGGTATAGACTTAATAGACGTTGTGGAATTAGTTACAGTATACAAACATTCTATCTACACTAAAGAAGATTCCCCCACCTCAGCATTCTAAATGGCTTGAGCAACTCCAACAGCAGGCATGTCTGACCTACTTTCTGGTTAATTAATTAAAAAATTACTTTTTTTTTTCGTGGAGGTACTTATGGTTAGTTAATTGCCAGAAGGTTTATTTGCCAAACTTAATGCTATTAGACCGCTTCTATTTCACTGATTTCCGGTTGATAATGAATTTGAAGCTAAAATTGTTTTCAATCACAACTCATTAATTAAGAAAGAGGGAAAATATATTTTCATATTAGAAAAGGTCGGCTTCAATAATTTCTATCTTTTCATTAATTAGTTTTCTCTTTACTCTGGTTATTAATTCCTAATGTAAACATTTGCTATTGATTCTGAATTCTGTACATTTTTCATATAAAAAGAAAAAAACTGCTAATCTGAAGGCATCATACTAAAAATCATCCTTTTCCCCCCCTCTGCATCACAGCTTAATGACAACACAGAATAATTTCTAGTGATGTCAAAAATGAGAAAAAAGTACAAAATTCTGAGATAGTCTGATGGTTGAAGAACACTGCCAGCAAAGCCCCTTTAGGAAAAGACACTCAGGATGACCACTATCTCCTCCTCCTTTTGAACGCACTTCCTTTTTAAAGTATCTGTGAGGAAGAGAGTTAGCTGCTTGCTCTGTCTGACTGCTCGGTGAGGACTGCAGAGGAAAAAGCAGAAGCTCCTATAGTTAACTCACTGAACCTCATCAGTGCTTCTGGCTGGAGATATGATATGCAGGAGAATCAGCTGGAAAAAAAGGTGAAATTTCTTCTCACAGATGATACCTGACCAGACAGCTCATCACTAAAGGTAACTAGATATAAAACTCCCTCTAGTCTTTTTATTAGAAAAGCTCCTTGAGGCATGTATTTCATTTTTTTTTAAATTATTAAATCAAAATGCTGTTTTGACATGATGAAAAAAATCATTTTATTTTGAAATTTCCTTTGAAGCACTGTGTGTTCTTTATCAAACTAACAATCCCTCATATCAGAGGAAAATTCCATCTTAAAATAGAGTCAATGTTATGCTGCATCCCTGACAATAAAGACCTTCCAGAAAGCATAAAACGGCTCTTAACCAGTAAACGCTAAAAACCAATTTGCGCTGTGTGTCATCTTTTAAAGACCCTTTAAAAACACCATTTGCTCAAACTATAGCAGGACTTTGATACCATAAAACACCTCCCTTTCTGCTTGAAAATGAACTTCTTACACGCAAACCCCGGAAATACACCGGTTTGTTTATTTCTAATGTCAAAATCATAGATGCTGTGTTTTTTTTTTATTATCAGCATGTTTTGCTTTTTAGATCTAGAACAATAACACCATATAACATGAACAAGGATATTGATGGGCTAAATAAAGTTATTTAAAAGGGGCAGAAGTTTTCATTCCCAGTAAAAAAAAAGATATAACAAATTAGGACCAGTAGAAAAATAACAAATAGATTACATTTGAGATTTATGCTTCAACTTCAAAATCTAACCAATTTACCAGGGGAAGATTATAAAACTACAATGAAATAACCTTCTTACCTAACTTAAACTTTCCTGAACATTTTTGAATATATAAAATTACTTGTCTACTTGGAGTAGGCAAAAAATATTTGCCTACTCCATCAAGCAAACATTTCCAGATCTCTAACTTTCTGAGGACATATCTTGCTCCCAGTCTTCTTGAGGGGACTCCACCGTTTCTCTCTTATTAAGTCTGGTTGCAAAACATATATTATGCACATCCTAAGCCATTACATGCTTAAAATACTGTATGCTTGGACTGATTTTTATGCTAAAATCCTCCTTCGTCTTGCTAAAAGTGATTTGTATTAGAAACTTTCAATTGTTTGTTTTACTTTTAGTAAATAAGCTTTGTCAATAAAATAAACCCCAGATCATTATATTGCTACCACCATGTTACAGTGAGTATTCATTGATTCTGTTGGGTTTTTCTTCCCTTTTTTTGTTCAAACTTACTCCTTTATCAAGGTTAAAAAAAGACAAATCATTGGACTTTGTTTTGTCATTTCGCTTCCCATCGAGGAAGCTTTCTGTATTCAAAATGTCTGGTGTAGAGTTAAGTTTCCGAACTTATAGAGTGGCCGAAACAAAATTCTTGTTTTGGCTTACAAAACATGCAAATGTAACCCAAAAAACAGGTCCACCCTTTAGTAATGGGGAGTCATTGAGGTCCTTTCTTGGCCTCCAAAACCCGATACTGACCCATGCCTCCTAAGGGGGAGTGGTTAGGGTCATTGTTGGCCTGCAAAACCAGGCAAGACCTTTTGGTTTCCTACATGGCGATGAGAAATCAACTCTATCGCTGCGTTGTAGGTTTTTGAGAGCTAAAACCTAAGTCCTCCCCCTCTGTTTAAGGTCCATTATCAAGAAATTTCCAAACAAAGAAATATATCACCTATAGAAATCAACAACTTAAACCTCCAGCTTTTGCAGATGTTAATGTAAAAATGTTGGCAGCCTCATGGGTCAATTTCCACTTAAGAGATATTAGCTTTGAGAAATTATTGTCTCTTTTTTTTAATTAATGAGGACACTTTTTTTTTTTTTTACTTTCTTTCTGTACAAGTATGACTGATAGCTTTTTAAACAGTTCAGGTTCACAACCAAAATTCACCATTTTGTTTCTCTTTAAGTTAAAAATGACTCAAAAAGTCTGTCAGGCATGCTTTTGGCTTACTACAGATCCTTTCCTGCTGAATCAGCAGCTAACTGAAATTAGGTTAGAATCAGGCTAGATGAAAGTATTTTCGACCTTATTGTCCCGCTGCACCTGATCCAGGATGCTGAACCCTAGCTGGAATTAAGTTCAAACCACACCCCTACTATAAATAGCTGGAATATTTATTTACAGGCTTATTAAATTATTATAACAGCTAACTCCATCTTATCCTTATTTAATATTTCATTATTTTCTTACATCCTTTCTTAATGTATTAAAAGGCAATGTCCTAATATAACATATATGCAATGAATCTGAAATGAATAAATATCTTAATTTATATGTGTATATATATATATATATATATATATATATATATATATATATATATATATATATATATATATATATATATATATATATATATATATATTTACTGAGAACAAAAACTAGAAACAGAACTGTGAACATTTATATCTATATTTATATTTATATATATGGAAACAAGCATGCCTGGAACATAGTGCTTGAACAGGACAAAGCAATAAAGCCAAAACTTTAAGATTTTGATAAAAAAAAACTTTTAAAAAGTTTATATATGGTTAGAGCTTTAAGGAAACTTGGTTCAAACTAATAATTGCAATACATTATATTGTTTTGAGCAATTAGTTTTCAAATTAGAACTAAATTATCGCAGAAAATCGTTAGTTTATTACATATTTAGATATATTGGATATATTATTTGATTTTGGACAGTGGCTATTGATTTCATTTATTATCTAGGGTACATTTTGTACAAATGCTTATTTTTCAGGATATATATGATAACCTATGACCAATCAGAGAAAAATAAGCTGTAAATTTAGATTTCCTAAATAACATTAGCCTCTAGCTCTAAAAATATCCCCTTATCTGCTGTCGGCTGTTTCCCAAACAGATAGGGTCAATCAGATTTAGAGTCATGACGACCTATAACCCCTTTTGTGAGACTTTTTAAATCACACTCCCCTGCAGTTTCAGCAGCTCTTTAATAGAATGGCACCACAGAGAAAGTTTGCTGGTTATAAACAAGAAAATTCATAAATACTCCTCTGAAGTAGACTCTTAAGCCACCCGGTGATCTGTTCAAAGAACAATGTTAAGTGGCCCTATTTTAAGAATATTAACGACCAGCAAAACAGCAGTAAAAGCATTATCTCTATGCTCACTGCCGGTTATACTGTGGATACAGTTTACTATAAAAAAAGAGCCAATTATAAATTATTTCTATTTTTTTCCGATGAAGCAGTGTGATGTCTAACCTGTAAAGAAATGCATCCTAAAGCAGAAGAAGTGCAAACTGGCTGCATAAGTTTACATTAAATTCAGCACCAATTTAGAAAATTTAAAGTGTTACCTGCCTGCTTAGCAAAGCACTAGACAAGATAACACTAATACAAGCATCAGTATCCTTAATGGAGGAGTTTACCTTTAGTTGAGTTGATTAATTACCTTTTTTCATTACAATTATGGTTCTTTAGTTAGCCATTGTGTGCCTCCAGCAGCCTTTAAATTAGCTGCTGATGCAAATTAATCTAATTAACATAAAATAAAGGACAATTTTATAGCATTTAAGAAAAAATAGATTTGATGCATAAAACATTATTTTTAGTGTGTATACAAGGTTCTAATCAATACGGATGTATTCAGCAGAAGCACTGGACAATTTCTTTTTCTCTTAATTTTGCATTATATTGAATTTTCTTGAGTGATCACGTACAGCAGCAGGGTAGGTTTCTATGAGTCCCTACCCTTTTTTTTTTTCTACTCTAATTGACAGTTTCAGTCTGGCTTCACCATAACCTGTTATTATTTAGCCAAGATGTCCTCCTTTAAAACAAAATAGAAAAGAAATAGAGGAAGAAACAACATTTGGTTTGGTTCTTTGCTTTATTTTTTAGTAGCTGACAGAACGATTAATGATTTCCTGCATTAATTAATTTAGCAGTTGAACTGAGCTTTGTATGGTTCCGACATATCACCTTCATTAGGCTGTCCTCGTTCAGGAAGCGAATATTCAAACAGATAGCATAGAGCAGCATCTATTGGTGTTTGTGTTTTTCCTAAAAAAAAAAAATGCTAGAAACTTCAAAAAGAGGCACATATGTTGATTTTTTTGGTTTCGCTGGCCATGTTAGGAGAGTTCAAACATCCAGCATGATTGTTTCAGTCGGGGGAGACCACAGGGAGGCTGAGTGTCTGTTTAAACAGAGATGCTGCCAAAAGATATGAGACAATATGGGCTTAATTGAATGGGTCGCTTTATATCAATGACCAATTGAGTATCTAAAGGAGTATTTCATTTTTCATAGTACTGATTATTTCTAAATATGGATCATTTTAAGAACCCGAGAGGGAGTAGCATTCTCCTGCGATTAGTAAGAATAACAAACTTTCTTGTATCCAAAAGAAGGACTTTAAGGGATATAAAGGTTTTTGGAAAGGCATAAACCAGAAATAAAATCTGTTTGTTTGCCTGATGAGGGCTGTGGCAAAAGATGTCATCACAGTTCTGGGAAACATTTACAAGGATAAGTGAGCAAATATTGTCAAGTCAAGATGTTTGCCTCAGATAGAGTCCGACTACTTCAAGACTGTTTTAGTTCACTGGTGAGGACTATTAAAAAGCTGGGTTCCTGCAGAATATGTATCATATATTAGTATTAAAAAGCTGGGTTGCTGCAGAATATATATCATATATTAGTTTGCTGTAATATATATAATTGTCACATTAAGATAGCTTTTAAGATATTAAAGGTTTGCATGGTTTAGGGGAAGAGACCAAAATGCCTCCTTTTGGCCTGAAAAGCCTATTTTTGCCACAGACCCTCAACTGCTGATATGAAGCTTGGATCCAAACATTTAAGCTCAAATCTACTTTTTTTTAGGCTTTTGAAAGCCCTTGTAATCATAAATCTAAATCTTCCTGAAGTGCTTTTTATATCAGCTTGCTTTTTATGTTTGTGCATAATAAGAGCGGATAACTGATTCATTCTCCTCTGACTAATTTTAGCAATAAGTTCCCCAGACCTCTACTGCTCTGCTGCTGCACCCTCAATTATATCTAATTTTCCATCTTTGTTCGCTCACTCCTCCTGTCCCTAAACTGTGATTATACTTCTCAGAGAATTAGCAAACAGGGTCATACCATGCATTTGCATGTTTATGCAAACAACTGACCCCACACAAGTATAGCCATAAACCTTCTGTCTCCCAGTTCTGGGTTTTTACAGTTTGTTTTTGCTTCTAGGGTAGCTGTTTACTGGAGTGAGAGCAAATAGGAGGAAGCCTGCTGATTTCACCAGTGACAGACTTCAACCCCCACGTTTTCTCAATGGAAAACCTCATCTATATCATCACTGTGCCGCTGTCGACCTCCATCATCCTAGCCAACTTGGTCATCATCCTGGGTATCTCCTGCAACCGTCAGCTCCACAACACACCTAACTACTTCTTTCTTAGCCTGCTGGTGGCTGATATGTGCACTGGGGTGGCTCTGCCCTTCATCCCTCTCATGGGTCTAAACCGGGAGTTGAGTTTTAGCTCCTGCCTAGTGGCTCACATCTTTCCCAATTTCCTCTTTTTGGCGTTTTTGTCCAACTTGGTGATGGTCCACTACGAGCGCTACATATGCATCGTCGACCCTCTCCACTATAGCTCCTTGTGGATGCATCGCAATTTTTCTTTGGCGCTACTCATAGTATGGACACCCCCACTTTTATTTGCCTCTTTGCCCGCCTTTGGATGGAATAACTGGTCAGCACCAGACTGGAACAACTGTTGTGAGAGTACCCAAAAGTTGCTACCGCTTTTGAACTGCTCGTCCAACCTGACATCCTGCTGCTCCTACCGGCGGGTGTTTCCCAACGCTTTTATTTACTCAGAGGTGTACGGGCTTGTTTTACCTGCAATTCTTCTCATCGCTGGCATGACTGGACGTGTTTTGTGGATCACCAGAGGCCAGATGAAGGACATATGCCGCCTCCACAGAGCGGTGGAGCGAGGAAACCAGGCGTCAGACCAGGAACAGAGGATGAACCTGCGGTATACCCGCTGCGTGGTGGCGGTGTCCTTGACCTTTTTGGCCTGCTGGGTTCCCTACCTAATTTACATGCATGTCTGTATAGCATTTTTAATATCTGACACCAAGAGGAGCGCCATCACTCACATCGTGTTGTCCTGCACTGGCATCGGAAGCATGGCTGTCGTGCCAATGGTACTTGGCCTGGCTAATAAGCAGTACACGGAACCGGCTTTCAAACTTGTCCAAAAACTTAGAGACAGGTGGAGGGCACGAGGTTCGGAAGAGACTTCAATCTGAAAAAAAAAAAAAAATACTCCTCAATATATTCATATTGATCCTGGTTTCCAGCAAGAACTGGTTTTGGAAAGAGTTTGCGGCAGCTTCTTGTACAGAGAGTGGAATTACGGTACCAATAAGATGAATTTTTCTTCATATTTCCCTCAGTCCAAAACTGCTTATACCAAAGGCATCATGGGAAACTCTTTCAAATGTCAAAAAGTTATATAATTACCACTAATAATTCCCTTACCTGCAGTAGAAAACTATCACATCACTATGAGTTTGCAGAGAAATATTTATCCTCAGAGCAGAGGAAGGTTGACAGCTGGTCAGTATCCTATTCTTACTCCCACTCAGTCCATTATATTTGACTGCAACCGCAAAACAAATATAGGAGTTCTAAAAAAAGCTTTAGAACTAAAGGACATTTACATTTCCTCAAACAGAGCAGTGCATGTTTATGGAAAATAAAGGGGAAGCAGATTTTTATTGGTAAGATAAAGGACTAAAAAAAAATTAACTAAACCCCTTATACCATTTATTGTCATTCTGTTTTGCAAATATCATGCAGACGTCTGAAAACATTTTAAATAGCCGTTAAAACGGCAGTTGGGTTTATACTAATTTGCATTGTTCAGTTTTCTGTTATTTTTGAAGAGAAACTCTGAGGAGTCACGAGTCAAGGGCCTTTCAACTCTTTGTAATCATCTTCTAAGGTTGATGGTTTGTGTGGCTGGCTGTTAGCTTTCTTCAACTCTGAGGTTATCAGAGGTGGTTCTTGAACGAATGCTGCCACAGGTAAGTGCCTCTTTATGCTACCGAAAGCACCACTAATCACACAGCAAAAAAAACTTGCTCAGCAGAAATTACATATTCAATATATACAAAAATATATATATTGAAAAATCTCACATTGGGTAATTATTAATTAATTTAGATTGATAGACAGATGAATTATTTATCTATATTCCAGATAAATCTTTGATATTTCAAAAATCTAATTTAGGAATGCACATTATTCCATGCATTTTACCTTAAAAACTCAATATTGGACATGAGCCATCCCAACCATATAACTCACTGATATAAAAAGCATTCTTTTGCAACAAAGAGCAGGATTATGCCTGCACCTGTGGACCCAGCTAATGCAGGAGATGCTCAAGTTAAAATGTGAGTGATGTGTTTTCAGAAGCAGATAACCAAACTGGTATTTGCTGTGATGCAAAGGTCGGGAGGGAGAAAACCAAATAGTCAGTGTAAATAGGTCTAGATAGATAAAATATCAGTGTAATTTATCAAATAGTTGATTTGTAAACTATCAGCATTAGGGCTGAAACAATTAATCGGATTAATCATGATTAATTGATTATTGAAATAATCATCAACTTGTCGATTAATTGTTAAATGGGGTAAAGAGACCCTAAAACATGTAAACATTATGCAAATATTTAAACATTTTGCATTTAATGTTCTTCTGTCAATACTCTTTATCCTGAATGCCTCAAGTTCAAAGTCTCCTTTCTCCTAATCTAAAAAATAATCGACAGATTAATCGATTTGCAAAATAATCCTTAGTTGCAGCCCAATATCATGTATCTCTAATCAACTAATAATTAAATTTATTATTTTATTTATTCAAAGGCTATTAGAAATCCGATCTTGAAATATAGCAGATTTTGGTTTGAAAATTTCTCTTGTGTTTCATTGTTTTTTTCGATGACAGAAAAGCAATGGCTTCTTAAAAAAAAAACATACAAGTAGTGCAAATTAACACAAACTGTTACATCATCAGCCAGTTTTATGGAGCAGTTTTTACGGTATTGCCTCCTCAGAAGTCTCTCTAGAAGTACCTCTGACATGATCATACAACCTTGACATAAACAACACTGGATGTATTTGTTCTCCAAATAACCCTCATTTATATGTTACCTTTCTACCAAAGGTAAGGGAATTAAATTGCTACTTTTTCAGAAATCAAGGAAGCTCTTAAACTGTGCCTCACAGTGTAACTGCAATGACCTAAATGATGTTATTGAGAGTAGCTCCAGGTAATTCTGATTTACTTCATAATTTTTTGTCTGAATTATGAATTCCGTACTAATAAATAAACTTTTATTAGCATCAAACTTGGATAATCGTTTTGTTTCCACTTGCGAGTAAAAGTAAAGGTCTATGTTTTCCGCGGGTCCCCTGGCCCCAACGTTTAGACACACACAGGACACCCAGGGTGAAGATTAAGAGTTGTTATATTGTTAACTCACACATAAAACAGAGAAAAATAAAAAGTAAATGTAAATTTTCTATAACTGTTGTATTTGACTTGGGCAATTTTTAAACTTTCCACACAGGTGAATCACATAATTGGGTCATTAACCGAACTTGAACATGTTATCATTTTGATGAAGGATTCAGTTGCGTTGTGGGGTGTTCGAATCGGCTAAAGAAGAAGATGGTAAAGCAAAGATATCTCGAAAGAAGAAAACATAAAGCAGCTGATCATCCAAGGCAGAAAAATGGGAATTTTATTTGTATGGGTGACTTCAGATTATATCCATGTTTGTTTAGTTTATGATTATTTTTCCTCTGTACTCAAGTGAGTATTCAAGTCCTGAAATCAAAATGTAAGGGGGAGGGGATTATATTATTTTCTATGGTTAAAAAATAAATACATTTAGTTATTTTTTTTAATAATTTATAGTGCAAAAAAACAAAAATCACCGGCTATGTTTTCAATACTCTGACACATTGAATGTAACACTTCACACTATCATAATATGGTAAAGTTGAGATATGTGATGTTGCCCGGTATGGCGGAGTTTGGACCCACACTGGAGCCAGGCAGGGAAGTGTTCACTCCCCCCTTATGGGAGAGCCTCTCCCAGATTCTGGGGGAGGTTTGAGACATGCTTCCATTGCCAGTGCGGCTGCCTATAGCTGTGGCCGTAAGCTCTATGGTTCCCGAACCTGGTGTCGAACATCGGCAGTAAGGGATGCTGTCAAGCTGAAGAAGGATTCCTATCAGGCCTAGTTGGCTTGTGGGACTCCTGAGGCAGCAAGCATGTACAATGAGGCCATGCATGCTGCAGCACGGGCATTCGTAAATACAAAAGCTCAGGCCTGGGAGGAGTTTTGAGAGGCCTTTCCTGCAAACTGTCGGGCGCCTCTGGAGGGTAAAGCAGTGCTTTGCAAACACTGTTTTCATAGGCAGTGTGGAGCTGCTGACCCTGAAAGAGGACATAATTGGATGTTTGAAGAAATAGTTTGAAGAACTCCTCAAACTAGGGTGCTCGTTAATCACCCAGGCTGAAGTCACCGAGGTGGTTATAAAACTCCACAACGGCAAGGCTTCGGTGATGTACGAAATTTGCCCTGAGCACCCAAAAGCTTTGGATTTTGTTGGGTTGTCATGATCGACGCCACCTTTCAACATCACATGGAGGTCTAAGACTTTTCCCTTGGACTGGCAGACTGAGAGGGTGGTTCCCCTACACAAGAAGAGGCACTGAAGGGTTTATTCCAACTATAGGGGAATCAGACTTCTCAGCTTCCCTGGGAAGGCCTATTCGCGGGTGTTGGAGAGGAGAGTCCGGGTATTGGTTGAACCTTGGCTTCAGGGGCCCTTTACTTGGGGCAATCCAGTCTCTGTACAAGCGAAGCAGGGGTTTGATCCACACAATGCACCAGTCTGACATGGTGAATAGAGATCTGTGTGAAAAGGAAAAGCTGTCGATTTACCCGTTGGTTTATGTTCCTACTCTCATCTGGGAGTCTCTGCTGAGACTGCTGCCCCCACGATCCCACGATGAATCGGGAGACAATGAGTACAAGTAGATTATTTTGTACAAAAAATATTTTTATATATATATATATATATATATATATATATATATATATATATATATATATATATATATATATATATATATATATATATATATATATATATATATATATATATATTAGTATTCTTGTTGTATCATTTTTAAATGATAGTAAAAATAAAATAAATGTCAGTTAAACAGTAGTAGAAAAGAAACAGCGCCCCCTACAGTCGCTGTATATGATGGATAAGGGTTATGAAAAAATATTTTTTGAATGTTTTTGAGTTGTTTTTATAAAAAGGAAAATCAAACCTATTGTTCATTTCTGCAGACCTGTATTTGAAATTATTTCTTCCTTGTCTAATATAGCATATTAGACCTATTCCTAGATCCAATTACCTTAAAGTGACACTATGATCCTCTGTTTTTGATTTCATTATAAATTACGCATTTTTAATTTTAGTAATTCTTATTTTCTTTTATTAGTAATTCATTCTAGAGATCTGAAAACAATTATATGAAACCTGTTATACACCAAAAACTCGTCAACACTCTGTATATATATATATATATATATATATATATATATATATATATATATATATATATATATATATATATATATATATATATATATATATATATATATATATATATATATATATGTACTCATACACCTATATGCACACAATCAGAATACATACCCAATCAAAAACTTAAACAAATTGGAACTAAAACTATACTTAGTGATAATTAATCACTGCTGTCCTGTGTATAAATACAGCTCAAAGATGTACATGATATCAAAGTTTTTCTAGAACAACCTCAGTTGAAACAATCATTGATTTCCCCCATCTGTCACGCCCCCCCCAGACGATGTTTACTCCTACTTCCATCAGCAGTGTTTATCTATATTCTGGTATGTGGGCTGGGGAGGAAAGATGGAAGCAAGGCGAGCTAAAAATATATCTAGAGAACAAGAGGGGATTAGGCCCAGTAACAAGAGCACACATGAGAGGAAGTATGCATTTATCTTAGCGCTCTCCAGTCTTTACAGGGCTGATTAGGTGATCATTTGGAGGCCTTATAGTTCTCACTCTTTGGAATTACAGCAACCTGAACATAAATTGGCACCTCTAGAGATGAAATGAGGAAAAATAAAGTTCCAGTAGCATATCAAACAAGTTGTCAAGGAGATATCCAATCTTTAAGCTGTTTTTATGCCTTTCTAGGGCAGTTTTAAAGCAGATAAATACATGTTTAACTCCTCTCAACCAGCAGGTGGACCACTTCAGCTCACCAGGTTTGGCAATGCAAAAAGTTTAACTAACCTCTGAAGAAGGAATTCACAATCCCTTTTCTTCAGTAGCAAACCACTTTCAACAAGCGGATTGAGAAGATATAGAGTTAATTTAAACTCAAGGCCAAATTCACCCCTCTAGAATAAATCCTACAACAGAGAACCATCAAGCTGCCCTCTTGGTCACATGACTCATTAAATGATAGATCAGACCAAATCCAGTTAGAAAGGCAAATTTTAGAAAATAACTCACTAAATACGTATATCTGAAATAAAGTTTATACTTGAGTCAAAGGTTATGCGTTGTTGCTTTAAGTCAGTGCCTAAACTCTAAATTTTGACCAATGTTCGCCCTTATTTATTTATATATTTATATATATATGAATCGTATTTATTTATAGGTTTATAGGTAGGTTTAAAATACAACATGTTTCTCGTAATATTGTGACTTTATTCTCGTAATGTTATGACTTTATTGTCATAGTTTGACGACTTTATTCTTGTAATGTTACGACTTTATTCTCATTATTTTACGACTTTATTCTCGTAATGTTATAACTTTACTCTCATAATGTTACGACTTTATTCTCGTAATGTTACGACTTTATTCTCATAATTTTACGACTTTATTCTCGCAATGTTACGACTTCATTCTCGTAATGTTACGACTTTATTCTCATAGTTTGACGACTTTATTCTCGTAATGTTACGACTTTATTCTCACAATGTTACGACTTTGTTCTCATAATTTTATGACTTAATTCTCGCAATGTTACGACTTTATTCTCGTAATGTTACGACTTTATTCTCATAGTTTGATGACTTTATTCTTGTAATGTTACAACATTATTCACATAATTTAACGACTTTATTCTTGTAATGTTATAACTTTACTCACATAATGTTACGACTTTATTCTCATAATTTTACGACTTTATTCTCGTAATGTTATAACTTTACTCTCATAATGTTATGACTTTATTCTCATAATTTTTAAGACTTTATTCTCGTAATCTTACAAACTTTATTCTTGTAATTTTATGAATTTATTCTCATAATGTTACGACTTTATTCTCATAATGTTACGACTTTATTCTCATAATTTTATGACTTTATTCTCGCAATGTTACGACTTCATTCTCATAATGTTACGACTTTATGCTCATAGTTTGACGACTTTATTCTCGTAATGTTACGACTTTATTCTCACAATGTTACGACTTTGTTCTCATAATTTTATGACTTAATTCTCGCAATGTTACGACTTTATTCTCGTAATGTTACGACTTTATTCTCATAGTTTGATGACTTTATTCTTGTAATGTTACAACATCATTCACATAATTTTACGACTTTATTCTTGTAATGTTATAACTTTACTCACATAATGTTACGACTTTATTCTCATAATTTTACGACTTTATTCTCGTAATGTTATAACTTTACTCTCATAATGTTATGACTTTATTCTCATAATTTTTAAGACTTTATTCTCTTAATCTTACAAACTTTATTCTTGTAATTTTATGAATTTATTCTCATAATGTTACGACTTTATTCTCATAATGTTACGACTTTATTCTCATAATTTTATGACTTTATTCTCGCAATGTTACGATTTTATTCTCGTAATGTTACGACTTTATTCTCATAATTTTACGACTTTATTCTCGCAATGTTACGACTTTATTCTCATAATTTTATGACTTTATTCTCGCAATGTTATGACTTAATTCTCGTAATGTTACGACTTTATTCTCATAGTTTGACGACTTTATTCTCGTAATGTTACGAATTTATTCTCATAATTTTACGACTTCATTTTTGTAATGTTACAACTTTATTCTCGTAATGTAAAAAGTCTCTAGCCTGGCCCTAATACTCCTTCGTACTTCAACAATAGAAGGATGGAGAGTATATGCCAGTTGTGGTCGACTGGGGTTGCTATTAGTTGGCCATCTTGGATACAGAACAAATTTACTTGCAGTTACAATGACTGACCACTTAATTGGCCTCAATGGAGTGGGGCTGCAGAGAGCATTCTACGTAGACACTAATATGCAGTTTAACCATAGAAACCATAGAATTAAAGAGATACTGACTTTTTAGCAGCTTTCCACTACAGTGACCGCTATGCACCAGAGGGTTCAATCTTTTAACTTTTCTTTCTACGAACCCTCACTTTGGTCACAACTGACATTTTAGCAACAACCACCTGGACTATAGTTATTTTTTAAAGATAAAACACAACAAGCAAAAATAAATTTAGCTTATCTAAATAAATAGAAGTGCATTCAAAATTTGATTCAATACTATTTATAGTAAAAAATAGATTAGGTCACCACCATCTTTCTTCCACTTAAAATATTTAAAATTACACAAACACAGATAATGAGAACATTGATACTGTGCTTTTTAAAGGGCTAATTTTGTATTTTCTGCATGAGGGTAAAAAATGCATTTGGCTTAGGCCTTTAAAAAAGGAACTGTCCCTTATTATAAAAAAAAAAAAGATTTATGTTTGATTTAAATGCTTACTAATCAATTCATACACATGATAAAAAATCCATTCATACTGTCGGTAGGATGGAAGTTAGAGTTGGCAACCCTAGGGGAAGCTTTTTTCAGCCATGCCAGGCTTAAGTTGCTTTCGTAGGACTACCTTATATGTTAACACTGCTATTTGGCGGTGTTTCCTTTTCTAAGTAATGACTGTATACTGTGCGTGTGTGTGTCTATGTGTAAAGATAATGAAATAAAACAGATTTGGCATCAATGAAGCTTTATTTATCAGCACAAATCTCAGAAATCTGAAAACTTGGGATATCTTTAGAAGTTTTTAAGTCAAACAAAAATATGAAAACAGACACTTGCGAATGAGCCAACAGAAGATTTTAACCTTGCAGCATTGCAAAAACTATCCGTTTCTGCAGGAAATTACATAGAAGATTTTAACAAAACGCCGCCGCCACACCAAAGGCATTACACATCCCAGTAAAGTTGAGAAAACTTTTCCAAAAAACACAACTTGATATAAAACAATTGGAAAACAGATTCAGGGAGAACATGCAACCTGCCATCAAGCTGCACCAAGACGTTCACTCTACCAGGAAGCACACAACAGAGATAATTACTTCTTAATTTTATCAGGTTGAGGATAAAGTAATCAAATTAATCATAATAAAAAAAAATAATTCACATTTTGCAGATGTGTTGTAATGCTGGAGGAGTTGACAAACAATCAATCGGTGTACTGGGTGGTTTCGGAGACAACCTTTCCAGATTCCACCTCCAGCCGGATCAGCAAGCGCTTCTTGGATTGAGCGGCTGGTGGGTATGATGCGGGGGCTTCCCACGTGCCTATGGGGACAAATATTCTGTCGGGCATTGGAGCAAAGGTGGATTCCCCACCTGGGGTCTTTTCTTGAAGGTTTGGCTTCTTCTGGAGGTGTTTCCTCTCTGGCTTTTGAACGTCTGCGTGCAAGCAAGGACTTGGATTGGTTGTTTGATCTTTAATCTGAGCAGGAAGAGAGGTTTGATTTTAGTGAAACACAAAACATTAGTAAAGCTTAAGAATTGCTGGAAATGTGTTAAATGTCTGGATTATAAAAAACTCTTAGTGTCTTGTGTCTGACAGAAAACGATTGTTTTTGATTATTTATTACAATAAATGTTAATATAATATTTTAGAGATCCAAAATTATGTGTAAATAGCCTGCTTTATATGGAGTGTTTAGTTTCAGGTTCCTATATGTTTTTAAATGATTATCTCTTTTCTTTTGTGTGTTTTAAATATCTTAAATTGAAACTAAAAGTACAATTTTTAACTCTAACCACCAACCTATAAAGTCAGAGTATAAAATCGTGACATTTTTGATCAACTTGAAATTCTACCACCGTATTTTCTGTCTTTTTTTCTCTTCCTCGATTACAAAAGTGCAACAGACTGGAAACCCCTAAAAATACATAGAACTTCTTCACTTTGTATGTATTTATGCATGTAAAGTAAGTTAAATTTTTAATTTCTTAATAGATACATTTACTTAAACAATTTAATTCCTCTTTTTAGTTATTTTTTTATGTATTTGATGTGATGTTTGATTATTCATTTGTGCATTTCACAATTTATTGGTAGATATCAATCAGGTTTAAGATGAATAAACAAATCATTGCTAATTTTGCTTCATTCTTGTTTCAAAATGCATTCACATTTATGCATTTCTTGATATATTGCAGCACTTTGTTTTCTAAATCATTGCTGCAACCTATTGAAAAGCTTACCTACAAAATAAACGGGCTAACTGACCTTAACCTGCATTTATTAGTTTAACTGAGACAGTTTTTTCCTCTCATTTGCATCCTAAACAAATAAAAGTGTTGGCCGTACATATTTAAAACAGCTGGAATTTTGAGCAAAGATGTGTTAGAGTGTTAAGTTTTGTTAGGATTAAAAGAAAGGGTTTGCAAATCAAGATTTCAAGTAATTCGGAATCAGGAAATGATGAGTAAAATCAGAAAAACTTCTCTGAAGATTGTTTTTTGTTTTATTGATGACAAGATTGCTTTACTTGTAAACCAATCTTATCGGACAGTTTATGATCAAAACATACAATATGACATCTCCGAAACCTTGATTTAGAATTTGTTCAGATTCTGGATGGTTGCTAACCTATTAACCTGCCACAACAAGATAACAAAAATACCTCAGAAATTCAATAAGCTGTTCTTTATTTCTTTGGAAGGATCAAGCCTCCCTTTATAAGACATCTATAATGGCGACCGGTAGCCTTATTGTGGAAAAATAAGACTGCAAATATAAAAGCACCACATACATGTGACAGTTAGCAAGATCAAATGGTTCTCACCTGAAAGTTTTTGCATTCTTGATAGAAAAGAAAAGAGAGAAGCAAGATGTTAGACATGGTTGAAACAGTTTCATCTTGTGCATATTGGCATGATCTCACTGTGTAACCTCCACCATCACATACCTCTCTTCTTCGCCGTTCAGCAAATTGCCATAGGCGGCGATTTCGATGTCGAGGGCCAGTTTGAGGTTCAGCAGCTCCTGGTATTGGCAGATCAGCTTAGCCAGCTGCTGTTTATGTTCCCTCAAGGCTTCTTCTTGCTGCTTGATGGTTTTTTGGGCTTCGTCTATGTTGTCATCACCCTCTTTTAAAACATCCATCATTTCCTTTCTCACTGACTCTTCCTAGTGAAGGGGAAAAAAAGGATATCAGCTGGATGGCCAGAGAGTAAACAGATGTAGACATGCCATGTTATTAAAATATGGTTCCTACCTTTCTTTTCAAAGCTTCCAAGTCGGCCTTAGCCCTCTGGATTTTACGTAAGATGTCAGCGATCTCTCTCTTTATGTCACGCACTTCCTGCTCCTTCTCTCCTGCCCTTTGTGCCAAGTCATCCATCTAAAGTTTGGAAAATGTATAAGAACAATAAGTTTTACTTGCAGAATGATGAAAATGCTTGATTTGTTTTTTTATTGTCCTCACTTTTTTGGGGTCCCATTTCTCCACTTCTTCCTTAGCATATTTGGCCAAATTGGTATACTGGGCTTCAATTCCCTTGATGTCATTGTCCATCTTCAGGGGCGGTATGTCGGATCCGCTAAGGATCACCGTCTCATTCCTGACCATCGACTTCAGCTGCTTGATCTCCTGCAAGGGGTTGAAAAGATAAAAGGTGTCTATTGGATGATATTTCTGTTTTCCAATCTGTTCCCTGAAAGGACTGATAAGCAGAGTTCCTAAACATTTAATATGTAAAGGGTTTTTCCTTTTTTAGGGTCAGTGTTCAGTTTAGTAAAAAAAAAAGAAAGGAAAGAAGGAATTTACTGTTGTGTTATAAAACGTAAAATAGGAAGGACTTAAGGAAAAAGGAAGGAATCACCAAAAGAAGAAGAAATAAGGTTGAAAGGAACAAAAAGGAGATTATACTGAATAAGTTCACCGTGTATTTATGACAAATATTACTAGTGCACACCGGCTTTAAGGAAAGGAGGAAGGAAATAAGCAAGGAATAAAGTCTGAATCTGGCTGCTTGAAACATTATAGAAGGAAGGAAGGAAGGAAGGAAGGAAGGAAGGAAGGAAGGAAGGAAGGAAGGAAGGAAGGAAGGAAGGAAGGAAGGAAGGAACGAAGGAAGGAACGAAGGAACGAAGGAAGGAACGAAGGAACGAAGGAAGGAAGGAAGGAAGGAAGGAAGGAACGAAGGAACGAAGGAAGGAACGAAGGAAGGAACGAAGGAACGAAGGAACGAAGGAAGGAACGAAGGAACGAAGGAAGGAACGAAGGAACGAAGGAAGGAATGAAGGAACGAAGGATCGAAGGAAGGTTTGATAGAAAATAAGTAAATAAATCAATATAAAGGCTTTAAGCAACACATAAAAAGAAAAAAAATGAAGTAAGAATGATGCAAGCAAGAAAGCAAGGATAGTAGATTTATAAAGATTATTCAAAAAAACTACTACAGTCTTTTACAGATTTTATATTATAACTTTCCTAAGCTGTCTATACCCCACTACCTCATCAAATCCAGCCGTGAGGAACTGCAGCTTTCTTGTCAGGTCCTCCAGCTCCAGAACATGTTCTACCAGTTTCAGTGTGCTTTCATCTACCTCCTGTTGCAAACACACACGAAAACAAAGATTTGAGTGAAAAGGACAAAAGTCACTCTAAAAGATGTCCAATGTTTTTGCTTTTTTTTTTAGGCTGAAAACAGAATATTGTTTAATTACCATTTTAATCTCAGCAATTTCTTTCTTTAATTCTTCACCCTTATCAAGTTCCTCTTCAAAACTGCAAACAATAGAGAATAAAAAGTAAAGCCAAAAATTACACTACTGCACTACAAGTGTCATCAATTATAACAAGATTGATGCTGCTGACCTGTTTTTGGCTTTGTCCACTATATTACTGAGGTCCTTATACTCAAGCTTCAGTTGTTCCTCATCCTCTTTCAATTTTTCAAGCTGCTTCCGCAGCTGGTCATCTTTCTCCTTCACCAAGGCGTCCACGCCCCCGGCATAGTCCTCCTTCTTTTTCAGGATCTTCAGCTTTTCCTTCAGTGCTTTATTTTGATCTTCTAGGTTCTTCACCTGAAACACAACCAAAAAAGGGACTTAATGTTATGGAAGAGGATTAGGGCCACTGAAAAAAAAAAGAAGAGAAAGTTACCTGATTTTTAAATGTTATTTTAGTTTGATATGGGAAAAAAGTCAGAATTCTGAGATTAAAGTCAAGATTCTCAACAACAAAAAAAGTCAGACTTCTGAGATTAATGTCGGAATTCTGAGAAAAAAGTGAAGATTCTGAGAAAAAAAGTCAGAATTCTGACAAAAAAGTTGGAATTCTAAAAAAAAAGGCATTCTGACTTTTTTCCCATATTAAACCGAAATAATATTTTAAAATCTTTTAACTTTTTTGGCCCTTATCCTCTTCCATATCCGAATAATGGTATATCTACACAGAAACTCAAAGATAAAGCTAATGGGAAATGCTAAATACTCGATATGTCTAATATACTCTTTTTTTATACAATCTTAACAACTAGTACGTCCTGCTACTAATCCTAACGCATTCTTACAATTTTTAAGCGTACATGTTTGCTTTTCATTCGGTGCCAATTTAAACATTTCTCAATGAAGGAATAAGCAATAACTCTCGTTTACCACTAGATGGCGGTATAAAATTCCATACGTACATTGAAGCCAAGCAAAGTGAGATACTTTCCTTTAATATGGCCTAAGGTATCAGTTTTACTCTGTTATTATGGTTGAATTGAATCTTACACAAAGTCATGTTTTATTTTTTTGCACCTTGTATAACTATAATTTTTTTTTTTCATTTGGATTTATTCCCATTTTACCATTTTTTTTAAATATTCATTAAATTGGTTAATTTATCTAACGTATAGGCAACTTATAATATAATATAATATAATATAATATAATATAATATAATATAATATAACTTTATATATATATTATTATTAAAAATGTTGCATTTTCATTAAGCATAAAATCATCAGAAATAAACCTTTGAATGTTATGTTTTGCTCGTTGATCTGACAAAACAAAATTATAATCTAATCTGTTAAATAAGACAGTAACTGTATAAATTTAATAAAGGGAAAAATACAGACCTTATCAATCAACTCGACGAACTTGTCATTGACCTTAATAAGGCTATCCATGTTCTTCTTCTTTGTATCATCGGGTTTGCTCTTAATGGGCCCCCCGCTGTTGGGGCTGTAGGACTGGCTGCTGTAGTTTCTAGACATGGTTGCTGGAGCCTGAAGGAGCAGGTGAGTGGAGATCCCACCTCAGAGATCCCTTATAAAGACCAACGGACCTGTGGACCTACCCGGATGCTTTGCAGGTGTCCAATCATAACAGAACAAGCACAGAATTTCTGAAGAACTCAACTTGAAATACTTGAATTTCAGCCTAGAACCTGTTTGTCAAGAGAGAGGATTGGATCCAGGAGCCCAAGTCCTTGATGTGGGCGGATATGGTTGCAGACAGCTGCTATAAAACTCACCTCCATCATTTCCATCCAGCCTCTGAGTCTCTCAGTTCACTGTCATCCAGCAGAAAGCATGTCTCGTAACAGCAGCGCCAGTGTGTTTGGAGGAGCCGGGGGAAGGGGCACCAAGGCGTCCGTGTCCACCCTGCAGGGACTCCGCAGCTTCCTGCGCAACGACACCGAGAAAGACTCAGCTCCGATTACTCCAGTCACTGCTGCTCCGCTCAATAGTTCAGAGCCTCCTGCAGAAACTCCCATCAACACAGAGAACAAACAGGAGCTGCAGGGTCTGAACAATCGTCTGAGAGGCTATCTGGATCGAGTTAAAGATCTGCAAGAAAAGAACAACGACCTGCAGAAGGAGATTGATGACATTCTGGCCAAGAGGGAAGCTCCTGAGGGAAGAGACTGGGACAAAATCCAGGAGCCACTGGACGATCTGGAAAAGGAGGTGAATTCCCAGACTTTATTATTATTATTATTATTATTATTATTATTATTATTATTATTATTATTATTATTATTATTATTATTATTATTATTATTATTATTATTATTATTATTATTATTATTATTATTATCTGTTTAGATCAAAGAGCTCACCAATAAGAATGCAAAGCTGTTGGTCCAGATTGACTGCACAAAGTTGGCCCTTGAGGACTTTGAAAAAAGGTAAGTGTCAATGCAATCAGTGGGCAGAATCCTTTCTTGTTTTCGCTCTGTCAGAATTTACATACATGCCCCATATTAGCACAACTAATCTATATAAATTTGACCTTATTTATGTTAAGTGGAGTGTATTTGACCAACCTGTTGGGATCCCATACAGCCCTGGTCTTATCTAGTGCCTTTTCTGATGTGTTGCATTTGTGAGGATGTGTCTGTAATCACAAACAGGCAGAATAAGGAGACAGAAAAGAACAAGGAGTCAGAGAAATACCTGGAAAATTTGAAAAAGGAAAGAGAGCAAATTAAGCAGAGCCAAGAGGAGCACCAGGACGAAATTAAAATAATAAAGGAGGTGTTGGAGAGCCTTGAGAAGGAGCACAATGAGGTGAAGCTGCACTCAGCGAACATCTGCTCACATCTGCTCTATTGTTTTGGACTTCTGTTTAACTCTATCACATGGCTGTTGTAGGAAGTGAACGATCTGCGCGAGAAGATAATAAATTCTGAGGTAAAGGTGGAGATTGAGCCCCAGAAGTCCAACCTGTCAGAGACTGTCAAAGACATGCGGGAGCATTACGAGAAGGTTGCTGAGAAGAACCTGAAGGAAACCGAAGAGTGGTACAAGAACAAGGTGAGAAACTGAGCTGCTAATTTCCTCCTGTGCTGATTTGATTATCTAATCTTATTTATTCTTCCATCCTAGTTTGAGAACATCAAGGAGAAGGAGGCCAAGAACACCGAGGCCTTGGAGGCTGGAAATAAGGAGCTCAAGAATCTGCAGAAAGAGTTGAAAAGTCTGGAAATGGAGATTATCTCTACCTACACCAGGGTCAGTAAAACCTAAGACACACACGTCTAGATTTATTTAAAAACACATCAGGTATACAATATATGCAAACCTGTTGTTCTGGATTTGCGCAGAAGATGATCAGTCTTTTTGTCATGTTCCCACCTTGAAGTTTGGCCTTCACAGGCATTCCTGTAATTAAGCTAAAGGTGCTGGTTAAAGCCAGAGGGAGAAAAAAAAACAGGATTTGTGGCCTAGAGGCAGAAGAGTCAAAGACGAAACAGGAATTAAAAGTGGATTTTTAATTAACTTCCTTTAATTAAGGTGGAATAAAAATCCTGAAACCACACCATAATATCACAAACACCTCATCAAGACTGTGAAACACGGAGGCAGCATCATGCTGGCTCTTGAGTTGAGACTTTCCAGTTTTCCAGAGGCAAAAAGAGGACTAAAAACAGAGCAATGCTGGAGGATTGAGACTGTATTAGTCTTTAGAAGAAGACATTTACAGCAGTGAAAGCATCAAATCTAACTTCTTAAATCTGTCTTTTTTCCTTCACAGATCGACACTATTGAGGAAAATGTAAGGAGAGCCAAGCAAGAGAACAACATACGACTGGCCCCTTTAAACGACATTATAATTAGGCTGGAGGAACAGCTGAAGGAGGTGAAAGCAGATGTGCAGCAAAAGGGGGAAAACTACAAAAAGCTTCTAGGTGACAAGAGGGAGCTGGAGAAAGAAACGCAGGCCTACAATAAACTGATGAACGACATACCCGCTGATGCTAAGAGGTGAGGAGTAATAGCAATTAGCAAGATGCAAATCAGGCATGAAAGAACTGCTTATTGGAGACACAATGTGATGTTAGACCTCATTTATTAAAAAAAAAAGCAACAAAGCATCAAAACCTTCAATGGAAACGTGACCTTACTGACCTACATAAAGATGGTTCTCTTTCATAATCCGACTGGCCAAACAAAAAATGACCCTTTTCCCGAGGGTGTAGAGGCTGATGAACAGCAGGCATCTTTTTTTGTTGAAATCTAAAATGACAGCCTTAAAGTAACCAAAGCTGATTCAACGTTTCTACTGTAATTTCAAGGGTATAAATGAAAGCATTTGCACCTTAATTATCTATTGCGCCTTTGGGCAAGTTTTCTCATACTCTCTCCATAGTTAAAGCTCTACTTCCGTTTCAGGGAAATGCTCAAGTATTATATCTTGTCCGCCACTTAATGTTTGGCAAATAGTTGAAGAAATGCATTTATAGGTTTTCTTCCTAAGCATCAAAAGAGATCTAAGTCCTCAAAGCTGTGTGAGAAAGTCTAAGTTGGTCATTAACAGTTAATAATACTAACTGAACTAGTTGGCTGTAATGTTGTTATTGCATAACCACAACCTCATTCTACTAAAAACAAAATAATTTTTTTAATTAACATGTTGATATTCATTTTTTTTCTGCTTACAGCACAGAAAAGGCCTAACCAGTTGGACTCCTACAAAAACCACTCCAGAGGGGGGTGGTAGGTTCTGGTAACGTCTACAAAAAAGCTCCGAAAACGACAAAAAAGCTGCTGCTGAAGATGGGGAGAAAAAAAAAAGAGCAGATTTTTGTAGTCGATTGAGATTTAAAAACTTTCATCTAATCTGTTCTTTTCTGTCACTCATTGAATTAAATCTATTGGTGTGGTCAAATTGGATTAGTATGGGGTGTTCTTCAAACCTGATTTCTATGATGTGAGCAAAATAAAGTTTTTTTTTGAATGAAAGGGGGACTCTTGATTTATGATCTTGTCAATAATTCACACAAGAAACTTATTGAAACCATAAGGAACAAAAAAAAACTAAATTATTCTAATAATGTACCCTTTATGACTCTGTTATAATCTAAAAAGGCCTTTATGTGCAAACCAAGCTGTCAGACTTTCCTAATAAGACCAATAAAAGCATTCCCAAAATGTTAAAATAGTACAAAACACAGGCAATTTACAATTGACAAGTATTTATCTACTTTAAGATGTTTTCTTTTCTTCCTTCTTTATCACACTTAAATTATTTGAAGTGAATTATTTTTGCCTGATCATCTTCTAGATTTAATGGAAATATTCTGTGGCCTGATTAGACAAAAGTTAGGCTTTTTGAAATATATGAGTTCAGTAGCATGCAATATAAAGTTAATCAAAACCCTAAAACTGTATTAAAAGGAAATCTAGGATTATTCTTATTCTCCTCTATTAATGAGGAGAAAAATGCTGCTCTTGGTTTATGACTGGTTATTTTGTATAGCAGTATTATAGCAGTTTTCCTGAATAAGTAGGATTCCCATATGTAGAGCCCCCTTTTCTCTTCAGTTTCTTAGCATTTTGCTTCGAAGTGCGCGGCTATGTTGTCTAAGGCAGTCCGCAGGGAACCAGTAATCCCATTCATCAAATCCTCAATTTGTGAAGGGGGATAAATTAAATAGTTGTCTTCTGCACTATTGTTCAGTGATACGGAATATTACAGAAATATTACAGAGAAAAAAACAGATTTCTCTCAAATTTATAATTGTATTATCTGATAATGATCTGCTAAAGTGAAAACTGTTAACACAGTTAAATAATTGGCATTGAAGGGGTAGATTCTTTGTTACTTTAAAAAACAGAAGAAAAAAAGTTCCTCTACACTGGAAAAAAAAATCAAAATCTCAATAAGTCATTTTTTCTTAAAAGAAGTGCTTTTTGTCTTGAATTGAGGTGGTAAGTCAGACATTTGCCAATGGAACAAAACAATTTACATTTAAAATAAGAAAAAAACAATTACATTGTCTTATTTCAAGTGCATATTATCTATTTATCCTATTTTAAGAGTAAAAATTCTCATTCTATTGGCAAACTATCTAATTTAACTACTCAAATTAAGGGTAAACTTACTTATTAATTTCTAGATCATTTTTCCAGTGATTTATTGTAGAGAAGGATATTTAACTTGAGATCTTTTCCAAACTTCCCATGTTGTCTTTGGTTTTCATTTGACAGCCTGATCAAGGGTTTAACCTGCTTCTGACAAAAGTAGGTCGGTCACACACTGATGGGTACATTTGTAATAATTTGACATGAGTCTTCATCTTTAGACACATGGTGTTGTAGAGGTTAAGCATGCGCCTCATCTATGGAGGCCTTTGTCCTTTATGTTGGTGTTTTCCAACTGCAGGTACACGAACCCCTAGTGGTCCATAAGTGCATTACAAGGGGTACATGAACATATTTTATTTCTTTGGTAGTACAATAAAATAAGGCTTGGATCTGTTTTGCTTTGTAAGGACCCAATTGAAAAAATTAAACAATTTTTTATCAACCAAAAAGCATGTTTTTCTTATATGTTTGAGTTCAACTTCAGCTTTAACAAGAAGTGGAACAGACTGGATGTAGAGAACAGCCTGTTATCCACTCTTTTCCCACACTGAGCTCTCAGAGCTCAGGTGTCTTGATGAAAACAAAGTAAAACTAAACAATTCAGTCTGACCATAACTTGTTTTCTGCATTTTGTTCCCAATTCATCACGTTTAAATGTGATTATAAGGGAATTACTCAGAGGGGCTCCAGTTTTATAAATAAAGGTTTATAATATATTGTATTTTGTATTTATTTCAATTCCTTACTAACTTCCAGGTACCATATTTATGTATTTTTTTTCCATTTAGGATGGAAAGCATAAAATGATCAAAATTAAATTCTTAAATTAAAAGATTGAGTCAAATTGTCTTTATATTCAGTTATTTTATGTTCCACTTTTGGACAATCATCAATACTTTTGACTGAAAGCGGTTCTCATGGTATGAAACAAATTCCAAAGGGGGGAACTGCAATATGCAACTATCCTGGTCATTTGACCTTTGCTGCTTTTCTTAGTTTGCTCTAAAATCATATCCCATAAAGCAACACTGAATAAAACTGGTTTGCTATATGTTTAGTCAGCAAGCATTTGGTGTAGCCAGCATTAAAGGATTCTGCAGTAGTATGTTTAAATGTTTGCTTTGCATCACTGAGCAAAAAAATGTGAAACTCCTGTGATTACTCAGTTCCAGTGACTGAGTAATCTCCATGGAAATCTGATAAGTATGTTGTCATAATTCACTTTTTACAGCATCTGTAAACAAGTTGTAAGGAAAACAGTTTCGCTTTTGTGACTTTTTTCAACCTAAACAAAATGCCAATTCCAGTAAAGTCCAGGAGGGCTCCACAAATAAAATAAATAACAGTTTTAAGCAAACACAGGTAGTAGAAACAACTAACAAAACCTAAAAAAAATAATAAGTTCAATTTCCCACTGAGGGAAAAAAAATTATACTCAATTGTTAAAGAAAGATCACTTTTACTATAGAGGTGGATTTCTTTGGAAAAACATGTTTTGTAGAAACTTTAAGTGACAGCTGGAGACATGAACTAACTGCTGCTAGATGATAAGTGCTTCTATCCTCAAGAAATATGTGGAGATTTTAGTTAAACACAAACCAGCCCAGTAGCGCAGTTTTAACACAAAGAGAAAGCAAAACTAATACCTGTTAAACTTTAAAATAATTTTCACATTATAAATGCAAACTAATGAGCTTAGTGGACTGTAGATAACATAGAAGCAATGCTTGCATTATACTAAGATAAAATTATAATTTTTAGTATTTTTGGGTTAAATAGACTTCAAATTTTATTTAGCTACTAATAATGTAAACAACACTCAGTCTTTGATAGTAACTGTTAGAATAATTGTATATAAATGTATCTGTGTAGTGTTATCATGCATAAAGCTGTGTGCTATGTGCATGTTTTCACAGCCACCTTTTCTGATGTATACGATGATTTGTGAACTTGCTTTTGGGGGGTTGTGGTTGATTTACGCGCAGCACTCAACCTGCTGAACTTTGGTGAACACCTTCAACAGCTTAAACTTTGACTGAACCCTGAAATTTATAGCATGTTTACTGAGACGTCTGAATTTTTCTGAGAAGTTTTTTACTGAGAAGTCTGAATTTTTCATGTTGTTTCTGATCTCTAGAGCAGTCTCAGCTGTTGTAACAAGGGACCCCTGATTTCTAATAAATAGCGAGCAGAACGCTGGGACTGCAGAGTGAGTTGGGGATTTGTAAACTCCGCAGTCTCCTTCTTGCTCTCATCGCGAGTAAAACTAAATTAAATGTCTCTGTGCCTTCTTTATTTCCCTGCATGTATGTATGATGTTTTAGGTGCTTAGACCTGACAGTAACTTAAATATTGTAAATAGAGTTCACCTGTTTGTGATCCAGCCTTAACAAAGAAAAATTAAATAACTATGCAGCACCATGAAAAAAAAAAGCACAGCTGATAGATCAGGGAGAGCTTTGATTATGATTTGTAGCAATGTTCAAACTTTTCATTAGAAGGAAAAAAGAATGGCACAATACGAGAAGCTGCAGAAATCTACAGCTAAGCTACTAGAATAATTTGATGTGCATGCAAGAATTTGGTGTTAAGGAAGAGTGGGATGAAAAAAGCAATAACTTTTTGATTTCATTTTATAATAACACTCCACTTATTTTGTTTGTGGAGTAAAATAACAGGAAGGCTCTGTATGACTCATTATTATCAGGTCCTGCCACTTTATTTTGATTGACTCATCTCGCCTCCTTCTTCAAGTCATATCCTCTGGCACACAGTTAAAGGAAGATTTTTTCTTCACCAATGAAAACAAACTGATAATGAGAGAATATTTGTTTGCCTGCATTCCATTTGCTTTGTTTGTTTCTATGATTGACAGCTTCATTTTCATTTGCTGACTATTTCCGTCATCTCTGTGCCAAGAGTTTATGCGAAGTTTGTCTCAACACAGAAATTAATCAGAATGACTTTTTAGTTACTCATTGAACACACACAAAAAATGTGCTCCAAACACATTAGTAAAGGTATGAGCTGAAATACATACCTGAAATACATTACCAACCTTTAGAAGAACCAGTTCAGTTAAGATAGAAGAAAATGCTAAAATAATGGATCTCTGGACTAATTTTCACCTGCAGAATTAATGAGGGAATATTTCATAGAGACCTTTTCTTCTGCAAAATGTAAAAGTCAATTGAGTCATAAGTTAAATAAAAAACATAATTTGTGAAATATGAATTTGTTTTGGTTTAGATTTGTTATAAATTTAATTTGTGAAGGTTTTCTGTCCTAAGAGAGATTAGAGTATCTGCAAAAAGATATAAAACCGAATGCACAATATAAAATGTTTCAGGAGGAAAATCATCTGCTTCTATAACTTCTGGTCGTCTCAAAGCTGAAACATATTTCACAGGTTCAATGGTAAAGTAAAAACGGTTTAATGGAAAAAAAAAAACAATGAGAAGATCGGGGACACGTATAAAGAAAACAAACCCTTTGGCCAAACTGATTGTTTTAAAATTTTCAAAGCGTCAATACCGAATTCTATGTGCAGGTGTGTCAAGAAACCAATTGCAGGCATGTAAAAAAAAAGGGTAATGTAACTCGCTCAACAGAAACCCTTTTTATCGTAGGAGGGAGTAAATCTACTGTACGTGTTTTACAGGTGTATTAAATTACTAAGATGTCAATAAAAGTAAAAGAGAAACCATCTGAATGAACAGACGCCAACAGTTCAACTGTGTAATATTGAGCTTCCTGTAATTAGTAGTTCAGTTAATGAAAAATTCCAAGTAGCTGAAGATTGTAGGTGTTATTGGTTCACATGGAGATTGTGTCCATTCACTCCGGTTGCTCCTTGACTCACAGAAGCCCAGTACTCCAAGTAACTGGGGAGTTTATGTCCTTCCTATAAGGTTTAACCTGCTACTTAGGTTCATTTATGTACCACAGATACTCCAGTTTCCTTCTACAGTCGAAATTCAGATTAAATACAAGCAGAAAATAAGGGGAGATAAGAATTTAGATGCAGAACTTTGTTTTTCTTTAACCTACATAAGCAAAGGGAGAGAGTATCAACCTACAGTAGGTAGTTTGAGAACTCAAAGTAGGAAGGAAACTTTAATGGGTCCTCTTATCCAAGGAAAATGATTTTTGACTGCAAGGTTTTTAGACTTAGACGGATTTATTTTGTCATTTTGTTTACACAAGCGTATGCAAGAAGAAATTTCGTTTAAAACAGCTGTACACAATTTTTTTTAATGAAAAAATGAAATGAAAAAATTAAGCTGTTCTATCAGACAGCTGTGGGTGTGTTACATTTAAAAGGACATTAACGATATGGAAAGAAAGTAAATGAACTAAATGTTAAACAATTCCAACTCAGATTTTAATTCATCACACAATACGCATGTCAATTCGAGTACACTGTGTGTGGCTTAAAGTGGCTTAAAGCATTGGATTAGCCTCTATGCTGATGACAAGTGTATCATGTTTTTGATTATTCTTGACATATTCAACATTCAAATTAGCCATAATACTTTCTCTAAACTTTCAAGTTGTATAAAATTGTTGTTATTTTCATTGTTAATGCTGGCAACGTGTCTTTGCATTGCTGGTATGACTGATTCAGGGACATAAAAACAGGAGACCAAGCCAAAGACTACGGTGCACAAAAGGATAGTTTATTAGGGACAGAATATATGTAAATAGAAATTATAACAGAATGTAATTTTCAGAGGGGTTGCGCAAAAGCTTGCGGGTATGTGTAGATGATAAAGTTAAACCTAAGGTGCATAATCGCGTGGAGACAAGGCCCAGCAGTCCCAGCAGCCTGCTATAGTTAAAAGGCAAAGAAATTAAGATTTTTGCTTGTTTTCTAATATTTTAACACCCTTCACAAGGCCAATTAAACAAAGAATGATTCACTAAATTACATGGCTATGCTTTTTCTCACCTTCTAAAATGTATCTATTTGTTTATCTTACAAGTAGTTTTTCATTTTTTTTTATTATTTTGTAGTAAAATTTGTTGCAACTGCCCAAAATCGCCATGTTCAGTTCAACCCTCTAAGGGTGTCGCTGTCCGTGGTGCTGGACAGTATGTTCTCCCTGATGCCTCTGAATTAAGCTTTAGGCTTTATTTGTGAACATATTCTTTTAAATAGATTCTTTTAAAGTTAACAAGTGACTAAAATCTTTGATGCACTTGTGAGTTGAGGCAGAACTGGATTCTACAGTTCACACAGAATGAAAAACATGTCAACTTCCCTCGGCTGTCGTCCTACTAAAGGACCACAATCAGGTCTTTCATGAGATACTTGAGATTCTCTAGTGGGTTAAAACGGCAGATTTAATTTTTCCACCTTTTACGCTAAGGTTTTTGTTGTTCTTCTTATTTTTCATTTTAATTTTTCAATAAATAAATAAATGCTAATTAGCAAATCAATAAACTAGAAGTTTGGGGTGTGCTCCTTGCTGCTACTGACTGGTGGCCGAACTTTGACTCGGCAGACACATTATTCTTTCAACCACCATGTTCTATCTGTGACTTGGAGGTTGATTTTGATTGGCTGTTGAACAAAAAGAGTCGATGATAAAGTTTTTTTTTTTTTGTGTGTGTGTTTGGGTGAAATTTTGGTCATCTGAGCTTTGTCTTTTCCCTATAGAAAGAATGCTTTTTCAGCAACAACAAAATAGAATTGGCATTAAGTGATGAAATTAAAATGAGGAAAAACACATGTTCATATTATATTGCACATTAGGCGCAATATAGTCATATGGAAATGTTTTTAAATCCCTCATTTCTTTTTTTGTTTCATATTTTTACAAAAAAATAATTTATAGTATTTTCAAAAGTAACCTTTGATTTGTTTTGCACTGGAAACAAACAGACATGAACCATTTGAAAAAGAAATATAGTTGCAACTACAAAAAGGCTCCATGTGTGATGGCCTTTCAGAAAACTGAAAAAATTATTAAGGTTTTAAAGCTGAGCCAAGAACATGATCAATTCAACACTAGATATGCTCAATAATTCGCTCCCCAGACCTAGATAATATAGAAAAAGGCCTCTGATTAAAATATAAGATTATTGGCTGCAGCTTCTTTATAATATTTATTTAAATATCAATGTTTTCCTTTTTTTTAAATATCAATGTTTTCCTTTAAGTGATGACTCTGTACTGTTTGTGTGTGTGTGAGGGAAATAAAAAAAAACAGACTCAGCATTTATGGAAGCTTCATTTATAAGTATGAATCACGGGTTAACAGTGAAATCCCTGGATAACAGTGAACTGTTTGGAAGGTTTGAGATAAAAAAAAAAAAGAAAGAAAAAGAAGAAGAATGCAACAAGCACAGAAGCCAACCGAGGATTTCAGGCTTGCAGCATTGCAATACTGCAACACACAAAGCATCCAATTCAGATAACATTTCCTTTTTGTTTTATCGGCATGATCTGATTTATATCGAAAAGATGGGAATCAATAAACAACAAACCATGCCTACATGCTCAAAACTTTAACTTCTGTCATCATGAAACTTAACAGAAATAAACAAAAAAAAACCTTAACACTAGAACTTTTTCACACAATATGAAAAACTTAGTGTATAGCTTCTCAATTTTTAGAAGATGATAGGAAACTCTGGAGCACCATAGGCATTGCACATCCCAACAAAGATAAGAAAACTTTTCCAAAAACACAATTTAATGTGAAACAACAGATTGAAGGAGAACATTCAACCTGCCATCAAGCTGCACCAAGACGTTCACTCTACCAGGAAGCACGCAAGAGAGATTATTGCTTCTTAATTTTATCAAGAGGTTTAAATAATTGAATTGATTGTAATTTAAAATTAAAAAATTCACATTTTGCGGATATGTTGTAATGCTGGAGGAGGTGTCAGACAATCAGTCGGTGTACTGGGTGGTTTCGGAGACAACCCTCCCAGATTCCACCTGCAGTCGGATCAGCAGGCGCTTCTTGGAGGGAGAGGGAGGTGGGTTGGCTGGAGTCTGGATAGCGAACCCCCCAGATGGAGGAGCTGCTTGAAGCTCTTTTTCCTTCTTCTCTTGCTGTTTCTCTGACAGTTGTTTCCTCTCCTGCAGGTGATTCTCTCGCGGGTGTTTTTTTTCCTCTTGCAGGTGTTTCCTCTCTGGCTGGTGAACGTCTGCGTGCAATTAAGGACTTGGATTGGTTGTTTGTTTTTAGTTATCTGAGCGAAAGAGAGGTTTGATTTTAGTGAAGCACAAAACATCAGTAAAGCCTGAGAATCGCTGAAATGTGTAAAATGTTTGTTGACGTTTTTTGTGTGTTTTAAAAATATAATATCAAATTTAAAAAACTGCAATTTTGAGCTCTGAACACAAACTTATGAAATCATTTTGTCTAATTGTAACATTTCTGTTCAACTTTAAGGGCTCCCACTCTGTTTTGGGAATCATTTTATCTTAATAGGCTAGTTTGGGTTCAGATTGAATGATTCAATATGAATAGCAATAACTGAGGTAATAAAATAAAAAAATCAGAAACTTGCTCTTTAGGGTTTTTGACATAATTTGGTACAAAATATTAATTAATTACGCTGGATTGGTTTGGAATTAGATGATCAGCACTTCACTGAGGGAGTAGTTATTTAAGGAACAGGAAACAATTTTTGAAGTAAGGTGAATAAATATCATTATGCTTGGAGTGCCCCTTATGGGTAATGTCAAAGTATAATCTAGTTTTAAAAAGGTTAATAAAGTTTATGAAGAATATGAAGAAGAAGAATTCTGCTTCTTTCAGAATTGTTTTGTTTTGGGGCGGGTGGGGTGGGGGCTTTCTTCAAAGAGGAGTTTTACCTTGTTTAATTTTGTAAAAGTCTTCTTTAAGGAACATTAGGCTATCCGATTATTATAAATATTAATCGATCAATTGAAAAAAATTATCGCTTTGCAATGAATCACTTTGCAAAATATTTGTAAGTTGCAGCCCTCGTACACATAACCTATGAATCTTTCTCATTGGTTAGTTTATGATCAAAACATACAATAAGAACATTCAGAAAAACCTTGATTTGAACATTTTTTTTCATATCACGGTGGTAAATAAAATGCTTCTCACCTGAGTGAAGTTTATTCATTCTTTAAAGAGACAAAGGAGAGAAGAAGAAGTTAAGTTACACAAAGGTTTTACATGGCTTCTTCTTCTGCATATTGACACAATCTCGCTTTGTAACCTCCACCATCATGTACCTGTCTTCTTCGCCCCTCAGAAGCTCGCGATAGGTGGCGATCTCAATGTCGAGGGCCAGTTTGATGTTCAGCAGCTCCTGGTATTCATGGATCTTCCTGGCCAGATCCTGCTTAGTATTCTTCAAGGCATCTTCTAGTTCCTTGATGTTCCTCTTGGAAGTCTCAATGTTTTCATCACCACTTTTTCTGCTGTCATCTATTTCCTTGCTCAAGGAATCTTCCTAATGGAGAAGGAAAAGGGCATCAGCAGGATGGCTAGAGAGTAAACAGATGTAGAAATGCTGTGTTATTACAATCTGGTCCCTACCTTTCTTTTCAAAGCTTCAAGGTCAGACTTAGCCTTCTGGATTTTACGCAAAATGTCAGCGATATCTCTCTTTATGTCACGCACTTCCTGCTCCTTCTCTCCTGCCCTTTGTGCCAAGTCATCCATCTAAAGTTTGGAAAATGCATAACCTTTACTTGTAGAACGGTGAAAATGCTTGATTTGTTTTACCCTGTCCTTACTTTTTTTTGGTGCCAGTACTCTGCCTCCTGCCTGGCAGTAGCGGCATGACGGGCATACTGAGCCTCAACAGACTTAATGTACTGGTCCATGTCCAAGGACCGTTTTTCGGAGCTTGGAAGGGTTACCACCTCATTCTTTATCATGGACTCCAGCTCCTTGATCTCCTACAAGGGATGGAAAAGGGAAAAGATGTCTATATTTGTTTTTCAACTGGATCTCTGGGAGGGCTGATAAAAAGTTTGTAAACATTAAATACAGAGATTGTCCATAGCTTTTTTTTCCTTTTGCATAACTGATAGGAAGGAAGGAAGGAAGGAAGGAAGGAAGGAAGGAAGGAAGGAAGGAAGGAAGGAAGGAATTGATATAAGACCTCATGGAACAATAAACGAATAAGTAATAATAATAATAATAATAACTTTATTATTATAAAAAAGCATTCTTTCCAAGCTTTCTATGCCAGATTACCTCATCAAATCCATTCCTGAGGAACTCTAGCTTTCTTGTCTGATCCTCCAGCTCCAGAACATCTTCTACCAGGTCCAGATGGCTTTGGTCCACCTCCTATACAATGTTATATTTTCAAATTTAAGTTTGTATAAAGCATGAGACATGAAAATAATTTGGAAAGTTTCTACAGATGTTTTGAAATTAAATGCTGAAAGCAGACTATTGGTTTATTACCTTCTTATATATAATAAAGTCATTCTCTGCCTCAGCTCTCTTTGCCAATTCATTCTCATAACTGCAACCAAAGGAGAATAAAATGTAACGGTAGAAATAACACAGCTGGAACATTTGAACTGTATCTAGAGTTTTAAGTAAAATAATAAGACTGGTGCTGCTGACCTTTCCTTGGCGTCGTCCACCTTTTGCGAAATGTCCTGAAGCTCTTCTTTTAAATTTTCCTGGTCGTTTTTCAAATTTTCGATCTTCTGCTGCAGGTCATTCTCTTCCTTCCTTACAAGAGCATCCAAGTTACCATCGTAGTCATCCTGCCCTTTGAGGATCTCCAGCTTTTTATTAAGTTTTCTGTTCTCATCCTCCAGGTTCTTCACCTAAAGCACAACCAAAAAAGGGACATTCATTAAATACCAACAAGGCACTGATTTTTTTTTTTTTTTTTTTTTTTTTTTTGTAGTAGAGTATCTGTGCCTCTTTCCAATCCTTCTGAATAGGCAATTATTTTGGTATACTAAAATAAATCACCACTAGATGGCGATCTGGTTCCCCAAACATGATAAATCCTGGCAGAGGGAGCGACTTTTTATGGCCTCGGGTTACAGTTTTCGTTTATATAGACGGAAAAAAACTAATGCAACCATATTCGGCATCTACTTAATCATATTTAGTGAAAAATATTTTTATGTCCTACTCTTCTAATATGAAAATAAGTGTTAAAGTAACTAAATATGAATATATATATATATATATATATATATATATATATATATATATATATATATATATATATATATATATATATATATATATATATATATATATATATATATATATATATAAAACTAAAGAAAAACTGGGTTTTATAATATTTTCCTCCGACTGTATAACGAAATACAGTTAAATTCAGCAAGCTTTCGATGAGGATCGTTGTCAAAATACAAGCAGAAAAGCCTTTTAATTATTATAACATGGAACGGGAATTAAATAAATAATTCTTAAATATCATGGTTTGTCTTCTATAAGCTGTAAGTGGAAAACACCATAAATAACACATATAAAAATGTTTTATTTACTTTGTGAAATTATATCAATGAACTCTTCAGTAATATTCTAATTTGTTAAATAGAAAAGGAAATCAAATAATTCAAGAAAATAAATACAGACCCTTTCAATCAACTTGACGAACTTGTCATTCAGTCCAACCATCTCGTTTTTCTCATTATTTTTGCCCGAGGAGTCGATCTTCTCGCTGGGTTTGCTCTTGATGGGCCCCCCGCTGTTGGGGCTGTAGGACTGGCTGCTGTAGTTTCTAGACATGGTTGCTGGAGCCTGAAGGAGCAGGTGAGTGGAGATCCCACCTCAGAGATCCCTTATAAAGACCAACGGACCTGTGGACCTACCCGGATGCTTTGCAGGTGTCCAATCATAACAGAACAAGTACAGAATTTCTGAAGAACTCAACTTGAAATACTTGAATTTCAGCCCAGAACCTGTTTGTCAAGAGAGAGGATTGGATCCAGGAGCCCAAGTCCTTGATGTGGGCGGATATGGTGGCAGACAGCTGCTATAAAACTCACCTCCATCATTTCCATCCAGCCTCTGAGTCTCTCAGTTCACTGTCATCCAGCAGAAAGCATGTCTCGTAACAGCAGCGCCAGTGTGTTTGGAGGAGCCGGGGGAAGGGGCACCAAGGCGTCCGTGTCCACCCTGCAGGGACTCCGCAACTTCCTGCGCAACGACACCGAGAAAGACTCAGCTCCGATTACTCCAGTCACTGCTGCTCCGCTCAATAGTTCAGAGCCTCCTGCAGAAACTCCCATCAACACAGAGAACAAACAGGAGCTGCAGGGTCTGAACAATCGTCTGAGAGGCTATCTGGATCGAGTTAAAGATCTGCAAGAAAAGAACAACGACCTGCAGAAGGAGATTGATGACATTCTGGCCAAGAGGGAAGCTCCTGAGGGAAGAGACTGGGACAAAATCCAGGAGCCACTGGACGATCTGGACAAGGAGGTGAATCCATAGACTTTATTATTATTATTATTATTAATATTATTATTATTATTATTATTATTATTATTATTATTATTATTATTATTATCTGTTTAGATCAAAGAGCTCACCAATGAGAATGCCAGGCTGTTGCTCCAGATTGACAACTCAAAGTTGGCCCTTGAGGACTTTGAAAGCAAGTGAGTCCCAATGCACACAAATGCAGACCTGGTTGTTTCTGAGCATAAAGCAGTCTGAGTTTACTTGTAGAGGCCATATTGGATGGAAGGAATGTCTGTGGTCCTCTTAACAGCCCTGTGGCATTCCCACTGACCTCCATTTAAGTTTTAATTTTTTCCCAGCTTTTTATTGTAATTACATTGTCACAAGTACAGAGCAGCGAAATTCAATCTCTGGATTTAACCCATCCTGTTGGGGACTGGGCTGAGTGGGCAATGCCCTAATCACTAGGGCACCACTCCCCTAGTATCTTTAACTCCCCACAAAGCAACTGGCGAATTGGCATTACACTGTCCCCACAAGGTAAAAAAGATACTTGGCTAATTCAAAGGGATGATTTAGTAAAACCACAATACTTAAATATTGATTTAAATATTCAGAGAAAAAAAAAGTTGCACCATTATTGGATCAGTATCTCCATCTTATCTTTAAAACATTTTCTTCGCACATGGTTGAGATTCAACTAAGATCAACATAAAGTAATACAACCTTGACCCACATGGCACTGATCCAGCTTTAGCAAAGTTCACAAAGAGACCATATTAGTCCCTTAGCTGTCATTGGAATACCTCTTCTTCCTATTGCTTTGGGGCAAATTCCAGTCCCCAATGTGGAGAAGAGCAATATATAAACTAGTTATAGTAAGACTAACAACTTTCTACTGCCTTTTCTGATGTGTTGCATTTGTGCCGATGTGTCTCTAATCACAAACAGACTGACTGATGAGACAAAATCGAGGAATGATTTAGAGAACGACACGGAAAAGTTAAAAAAAGATATTGATGAGATCAAGCAGCAACGGGAGCAGCTGCAGGGGGAGACCGAACTGATACGGGATGAGGTGAAACGCCTTGAGAAGGAGCACAAGGAGGTGAAGCTGCACTCAGCTAACATCTGCTCACATCTGCTGCATTGTTTTGGTCTTCTGTTTAACTCTATCACATGGCTGTTGTAGGAAGTGAATAATCTGCGTGAGAAGATCAAAAATTCTGAGGTGAAGGTGGAGATTGAGCATCAGCAGTCCAACCTGGCCCAGATTGTCAAAGACATGCGGGAGCATTACGAGAAGGTTGCTGAGAAGAACCTAAAGGAAACCGAAGAGTGGTACAAGAACAAGGTGGGAAACTGAGCTGCTAATTTCCTCCTGTGCTGGTTTGATTATCTAATCTTATTTATTCTTCCATCCTAGTTTGAGAACATCAAGGAGAAGGAGGCCAAGAACACCGAGGCCTTGGAGGCTGGAAATAAGGAGCTCAAGAACCTGCTGAAGGAGTTGAAAAGTCTGGAAATGCAGGTTATAGCAAACCACGGAAAGGTCAGTAAAACCTTCACACAAGTCTAGATTTATAAAAAAAAAAAACGCCAGGTACCCAACATATAAACCAGTGGTTCTGAATTTGCACCAAAGATGATTTGTCTTTGTCATGTTCCCAGCTGGAAGGTTGAGCTTAACAGGCATTCCTGACAGGCCTGTCATTAGGCTAAAGGTGCTGGTTAAAGCCAACACCTTTAGAAAAAAAAAGCACATTCGGGTGGAATAACAAACTTGAAACCATACCATAATATCCCAAACACCTCATTAAGACTGTGAAACACGGTGGTGGCAGCATCATGCTACCACTGTCTCTTTAGTTGAGACATTGATGGGGTGAAAGAAGGACTAAAAACAGAGCAATGCTGGATAAATCAGGCAGGGTTAGTCTGTAGAAGAAGACTAGGCTTTTGTAATGCCAACTGAAAAGTTTTTTCATCCATAGCAGAGCAAACATCAACTCAAATCTCGCTTCTTTTGCCTCACAGATCCAAAGTCTTGAGGAAAATCTGGCAAAAGCCAAGGATGAGAACAACCAGCGACTGATCCCTTACAACAATATTATAATACAACTGGAGGAAGACCTGAAGAATGCGAGGAAACAGGTGGAGCAGAAGGTGGAGAATTACAAAGAGCTGGAAGGCGTCAAGATGAAGCTGGAGAAAGAAATCAATGCCTACAATGAGCTGATTCAAGGCATAACTGCTGATACTGAGGGGTGAGGACACATAAAGTATTTCCCTCTTTTAATTGCTGTAAGGTGGTTTGAATGAATAACAGCTCCAGAACAGCCCGGGAGGAAAAAAAGGTACGGCAGTTAAATACAGGACTTGTGCATTATTTATCCTCTTCTTCCCCGACAGCGTGGAGTTTGATTTAGAGGACGCAATACCAGTTGGTAAGTTCCAGATCCGCTTCGTGAGAAACTATCCAAAACCCAAACACCATCAAGCCCCATCACCTGATCAACCCTTTAACCCTTTCACCAACCAGACAGGGTTCGGTTACTGATCACAGAAATGCTTTCGGTTGGCTCTGACAATCTGATTGGCCATCTTCCCAACAGGAAACAAACAAACACAAAATAACGCAGCCCTTGTCTTCCCACACAACGTGTAAGCAGTTCGGTTGACAGCGTGGAGAGATTTAAATGCATAATGACACGTAATAATTTCCGCCTTGAATGGCAGCAAAGCAATTCTCGAATTGCTACATTGATGAGCATAAAAGAAAATATGTGCATCTTTCATTTCTGTTGTGCCTTAGGTCATGCTGCCTCATTGTCTCTCCATGTTTGATGCCTCGGTTTACACATGTTATTAGGGAAGCGCTTAGCTGAGCATGAAAGCCTGCCCTCACGCCGTTTATTGTTTGACAAATGCTTTAAGAAAACAAAATTATAGGCTTTCTTTCAGAGCGTCAAAACAACATGTCCTTTATGTTCTGTTAGAAAGTCTTTAATAATGTTTCCACTGCTTTCAAGCTGGTTATTAACAGTTAATAATACTAACTACACTGGATTGCTGTTGTATTCTAATTGCATAACACCACAAACAAATTTTACTACAAGAAAAAAACAAAACAAGGGAATGTTTGAAATTCATCGTAACGAAAATCCAAATCAAACCAATTTCTGGTTGGAGCTTTTTGTAGGTTCCTGATGAAGGACTGAAGGAACACCAGGTACAATTAAATGGGAAACTCTCTTATATTTGTGCCGTTTCTGTTTACAGAACAACAAAGGAGTGACCCGGTGGAAAGCGAGGTGGTGTCTTCGGTGAGCCCCGCCGTTAACCAATCCTCATCCGAGGCTCCTATGAATACCGTTCCAGAGGTGGTGGTGGGTTCTGATGATCTCGACAAGAAAGCTAAGAAAGCCAGCAGCGACAGAAAAGCCAAGAAGAAGAAGAAGCAAAAGAAGGAAAAGAAGTCTAAGGACAAGGAATCGTCCTCTTCCTCCTCGTCCTCCTCTTCCTCTTCTTCTTCCTCTTCCTCCTCTTCCTCTTCCTCTTCCTCCTCTGATGAAGATGAGAAAAACAAAGAGGAGGTAATCATAGGAGATTAAGATTTAAAAACTCTCATCTGATCTATTCTTTTCCGTCTGTCATTAGAAAATCTATTGGTGCTGTCAAATATTCAAAATGGGTTGTTTAAACTTGACTTCTATGATGTGAGCAAAATAAAGATGGTTTCAAAATGGAAAAGGGACTGTTGATTCTTGATTGTTTCAATCGTTTCTAAAAAAAGATCACCTTTAATAAACCATAAAGAAGAAAAATGTTTAATATTTTCACCATATAATGAATCCTTAATGATGGTGTTAGAAACTTAACAAGCCTACGTGTGAAACCAAGTTGCCAAAAATAGTTCTTCAAAAGAAGTTTGCAAAAAAAGATGTTCAACATAAGGAAATTACAAATACATTTCTATATTGTGAACATTGTACAATTTCCCCCCCCCCCTTTTTCTTGTCACAATTAAATGTTATTGAAATCAGCTCTATTAGCCACACACAGTTCTGAGTACTGCAAGACTAATAGATTTTTTTTAAATCCCTGCCATTGGACCTGACTGACAACATGAAGCAGGGTTGAAGATCTAAAAAAAGTCACATATCATGCCCCTGTCTCAAAATGAAAAAAAAAAAAATGTCTATGGTAGGACATGGAAAGGACATTTTGATAAGGCGCTTTCAAATAAAATGTATTATTATTATTATTATTATTATTATTATTATTATTATTATTATTATTATTATTATTATTATTATTATTATTATTATTATTATTATTATTATTATTATTATTATTATTTCTTAGGCTTTGGGACTCAAGTGAATGACAGTGAGAGAACAGTGGAAACCTTTCCAGAAATTATGCAAAGAGTGGATTAATTATTCATCCAGGGGGTCACGAAACAATCCAAGAGGATATCATAGGTTTGGTACACGTCACCTTCCTCAGTTCATTGGAGAGTTTATAATTACAAAATGTGAAAAGAGAGATCGGACAAAAATGGCCTCGGTGGAAAGTTCTCAAGACCAAAACAGCTGCTGATGATCTCACATTTTCAAAAACAAAAAAAAAGTCTAAAAAGGCTTCAATCAAAACTAAATTTAGGGTCAAATCTGGGATTAAATGCAGTCTAGTTTTACTTTGAAATAGCCTTAAATTCTCAAAACTCCTCCAATGTGGCTGATTCCTTTTCTGACAATAATGGTTTGATATAATTCCTCCACAGTGCTGTT